ACATTAAATGAACAATTGGTGATAGTTCATATTTTTTATTCTGAATTGAAAATCTGAAGTTTTCAATATTCAATTTTAAAATTAATTTTGATTCTCTTGTTTTTCAAGTAAGTAATTATCAAAAGAAGGCACCAAACCGGGAAGGCTTTGTAGCACCATCAAATGTGCGGGATAATCAGAGAGCGCTAAATATCACCAAGGATGCCAATACGAGAACAGAAACACATAAGGCGAACGATATCAAAAGTATCCGAGTCGCCAAGAATTCTACCGAGGGACAAGCGATCTCGTGGGACGGTTGGAAAACAGGACACACGCTTGTCCTGGAAGTCAGGACATTCAACAAGGATGTGCACGACTGTAAGAGAGACAATGCAATTTGGACAATAAGGAACAGGGTGGCTCTCCATTAAGTGAATGTGAGTTAAACGGGTATGGCTAATACATAACCTAGCCAGAGCTGTTTCCCACCGCCGGTTACGGTAGTAGGAGTAAGGCCACTGGGACACACGACTTAAGTGTAAGCAGTTTGTTACCAATAACAGAAGACCAAAAACTCTGCCAGCGGGCAAGGATAGAGGCATGAATAACTAGGTAAAAGTCGGAACAAGGAATACCTTTATGGGAGATGGGACAACTGCGGATAGCTTCCTTAGCGGCAGCATCCGCACGCTCATTTCAAGAGACACTAACATGGCTGGGAACCCAGCAAAACTCAACCGACTTAAATTTACTGGAGATAAGAAACAGCCAATGTTGAATCTCGATGACCACCGGTCTTGTTTTTCAAGTTACGATGTGATCATTTAGACAAAGTTAGAGCATTTGCCTAGTTGATTATGCACAAAAAATTTGAAAGTGTTTGTGCAAGTTTTAAAAACTTATGTTAAATTATATGTCAAATCGAATATATATGCATTGTGCGGTTTAAGGGTTAAAGATCTGCCCAAAACGCTATGCATGCTAGTGTTACATTCTTGTAAAGCCACTAGCACCCTATGAATAAATAAATATACATTCATTTATACCAAATAAATAATGGTATTTCCCTAAATGAGCGTGCGGACACTGCCACTAAGGAGGTTGTCCGCACCTGTCCTATTTTCAGGAAAGGTGTTCCTTATTCTGATTTCTATCCATTCACTCTTCGATCTGTGCCTGTTCGCAGGGTCGTTGGTCTTCTGTTACTGGTAATAAACTGTGTGCTCTTAAATGCTGCCTGTCTGACCAGGAGGCCTGGTCGATGACCGGGCCGCGGGGACACTAAGACCCGGCAGCACCTCAAGGTAAGGTCCCCCATGGCTTTCCCCCAACCACCGTAACCGAGGGTGGGAAACGACTCTGGCGAGGTTACGTATTTTTTATACACATTTAACTCGCAAGCACTTAACATTTTGGCGTACCCCGCGCGCCACCCCTCAACTGTGCGATATGGGACCCAGGGTGTCACGGGAGCGCGCGTAAATTCTGAAAAGTGTATACTCTCTTCAACTTTGTCACCTTAATTCTCATCCTACGAGATTAAATTTTGTATCATTGTGTTCGCAATAGAATTCTCTACAGCACTAAATGCATATAAACTCCAAAAGCCCGGCAAATTACCCGCAGAAAACAGAGAAAATGCGAACGAGTAACCCAGGAGCGCGCAAACGCGATAAAATGTTTTCACTATTTTCACTCTGGTCACCTCAATTTTCGTCCTAGGTCTTTCATTTTAGTCTCAATGGGTTCGCAATAGAATTCTCTAGAGGAACATTAGCATATAAAATAAAAAACCTGGTCACGCTCCAACCGCCAACGAGTTGAAGACGAGCCACGCGTTAGCCGCAAGTGAGCGCTCAGACGCCTTCCAGCTACACTCCCAATTCCCGCCCTTTTCAAGCCTTTCTTTTGCAATTTTCTTCCTGGAAGGGCCTTGTTCATGATCACTATCCATCGTGGAGTAAGTGTAGGTAGTTTCTAAAGCCGCAGTAAGAAATATAGCCATGGAAAATAGCCGAAATGTTCACACGTTTGAGATGCGAGGGGAGGCGACATTGGTCACAACAGTGGAGTGAAAACAATGGGCCCACGGCGTGTGCCAAGCCGCCTGAGGGCCACGAGGCTCAACAAAGAAAATGGGAAGACATCGGCGCGCATTTTAAAACCAGTCCCAAAAAAATAGGATATAAACCTGATTTTTGGCGATTATTTAAAGTGGATGACGCAATGCTGCGTCATCCCCGGGCGAAAGTGTTAATGGAGCACTGCCCTGCTCCTTATTGTCCCTTGTATTGCTGTGCATAGTTGAATGTCCTGACTTACAAGATGTGCGAGCGTCTTGCTTCCCAACTGTTTCTCGAGGACATTTGTCCCTTAATAGAAAAATTGGTGAATCACATACCTTTGATATCACACAACTTATCCTCATTTGTTCTCATATTGGCATCCTTAGTGATATTTTGTAGTGGCCACATTCTAAATATATAAAAAAAAAGTTTCAAAAACTGTTGGCATTCTTTCTAAGATCAGATATTATGTACCACGCCCTGCCCTGGTGACTCTTTATTACTCCCTCGTCTATCCATATCTCAACTATGGTATTTGTGCTTGGGGTTCTACTACTCAAAATCATTTACGTCCTCTAATTACTCAACACAAAGCTGCCATTAGGACAATATCCAACTCTGGCCCCAGACATCACTCGGTACCCCTACTCAAATCTCTGAATATGTTAGACATTAAGTCACTGCACATTCTCTCATGTGTATTATACATATATAAAACGCTAAACTATAATGCCAATCCTGACCTCAAAAGCTTCATAGAAGGTTGTAACAGAACCCATGAGCACCACACCAGAAATAAATACAGTTTTGATATTCCTAGAATACGACTTATTCAAACTAGAAATGCTCTACAAATCAAGGGACCCAGATTGTGGAATGACCTTCCCAACCATGTTAAAGACTGTACCTCTCTCAACCAGTTTAAGATAAAAACGAAGCTATACCTAATAAATTCCCTGTAACCTACCTTACCCCTCTAATGTCATCTAATGTCTGTTTTTTTTTTTTTTTTTTTTCAAAGAGCGCTGTTTGTCAACAGAATTGTATTTGTGCTGCTTTTTCAGCTATGTTTTCATTTTACTCTTTATGCTCAATTAGTATTAAGCTTTAGTCATTTAAGTTTTTTATGCCCGAAACGCTTTGCGTAATAGTGGCTTTAGGCATTGTATGTACTAGCCCTAACTATAAATCCATCACTCTTTGTAAAATCTCTTATGTATGTACCTTCCCTAAATAAACATTTTGATTTTTGATTTTTTGATTTAGTGTTTTTTGAATATTCTGTGACATTGGTGCTACATAGTCTCCCTGGCTTGGTGTCTTCTTTAGATAATTATTTATTTGCCACCCACAGAAGAGTTATGAGACCCACTACCCCTACAGGATAGGTATGGGATGCACTACCACCTACAGGATAGGTATGGGACCACTAGCACCTGCAGGATGGGTATGAGTCCCACTATCACCGAAAGGATGGGTATGGAGCTCACCACCACCCAGAGGATAGGCATGAGACCCACTACTACCCACAGGATAGGTATGGGGCCAGCTACCATCCACAGAATGGGTTTGGGACCCACCACCACTCTCGGGATAGGTATGGGACCCACTACCACCCACGAGATAGGCATTTTTCCCACTACTGTACCACCATCAGGATGGTAGTGGGAAAAAATGAGATCCACTGCTACCGACATGATAGGTTTGAAGAGAGTTTTTGAGAGAACAATACCATTCAATGAAAATTGCTCAATTGGGAGCAACAATAAAAAAAATAAAAATAATCAAGCGTACATTTGACATTAAGGAAAAGAAGTAGTTCTTTAACTGTATAAATCTCTGGTGCCTGGGTGCACTGGATTAACATTTGGATTACTGTATCTAAGAATGGAGACCTTATCTTCAGAAGGACATAGCTGCTCTGGAGAAGGTGCATCACTGGGCAACAACAATCATTCCAGAGCAAAGTCATCTCACGTATCAGGAACGGTTGAGAGCCACAGGGCTAACAACACTACAAACCAGGCATGACAGGGCAGATCTCATCGAAACCTTTAAAATGCTGAACAATTTGGAGAATGTTGATCCAGACATTGTCTTCAAAAGGTCAGGGGTAACACAAACAAGGAGCAATGGTTTCAAGCTCAACAAACCACAATGTAGGACTGAGACCAGGAGATGCTTTTACACCCATAGGGTTGTAAACTCAGGGTTATGAACTGCCTACCTGCCGAAGCCATAAATGCCAAGACTCTGCTGAACATTAAAATCCAGCTTGGAAAACTCATCAGGCCAAATGTGGGGACCTTTGACAAGCCAGCAGCTTCCTGTCATCATCAAGGCCACTAGAGTTAGTGGCCCTCAGTGGTGTAAATGTAACCAGGACACATGGTGTATGTATAACCAAGACACATGGTGTACGTATAACCAGGACACATGGTGTAAATGTAACCAAGACACGTGGTGTAAATATAACCAGGACACATGGTGTAAATGTAACCATGACACATGCTGTAAATGTAGCCAGGACACATGGTGTAAATGTAACCAAGACCTGTGGTGTAAATGTTGCATCAGAGACCTCTACAGTTCAATAACTACATTCCTTCCAAGCCAAAGCATCTTTTGACTCTTCCTTGGCTCTTTTTTTTTTTTTTACAGCAATTCCCACTCGTGCAACTTTCAATGGGCGACGGATCATAACTCGTGGGTCCATTTCTTCTTCATCAGCTGCATGGTATAGTGTCACTTGTTGATATTCTAGTTATCACCTTCACTGTTATCACCGTCATGCAGTCTTTCATGGCTTCATTATTGAAAGGATTTGTCTGTTGTCTGACCATCAGTGGAGTTCTTGTTGGTCTGTTTGTAAGACTTACTGAGAAAAAAAAGATCGATGCTGATGCATCACAAAGATAATTACAGGAACTGAAATAAAATAAAAGTGCCAAGGATAAAATACTCATTTACTTCTTAATAAATTCAACAATATAAAATAAATCATATCATAAACACACAAATTTGGTCGTACCTAATTTATTTTGTCATCTAAACTGAAAGTTGCACATTTCATGCTCATAAAGATGTAACTTGTATTGTCCAAAGCTATGGAATATTAAATACTTTGAATACAAACCTATTCTCCTTCAACGTATTATAAGCTTACCACACTTGGTATCTTATTCAGAAAGGCAGTAATTTACAATACCACACAAATGGTCTTGCTGCCAATGATATTGTCAGTAACGGCAAAAGTTACATCTGCTTATAAAACTTTAAATCGACATACTGTACAAATAATAAAAGGAATATTTTTCCATGTTACTATTGTTTTGAAACAAGAACGATAGTAACTTATTAATAATCATGTTTTATAATATTTGAAAATAAGTTTTTGAACACCATTTTTATTGCTTAAAGACTTTCCTCATAAACAATAGAAAAAATTTGAATTTCTCTGCATGTTCTCTATAAATAAATAATAATTAAGTGCAGGAACAATGATTTACCTTACATAATGAGCCAATATCCATCTACCTGATAAACACAGGTCAGGTTCCCTATTCTTACATATGTCAAAAATAAAGCAAACATTTCAATCTGTCTTACACATAGTAAAGTTTATTGGAGACAGGAGTGTCAGTATTAACTGTAACCGCTTCTTCGATCTCTTTTTGGCTGACAGACTCTGAAGCATCGTCGTTATTGCAGAGCTCGTTGAGATGCACTTTAGCCCTAGAATCAAGATTATTAATCTTCGTTAGAAGTGAGGCGTAAAGTTTCATTAAATATTATAAAATTATACAATTAATGAGCTTGGGGTGAGTGTGCACACATCCCGTACTGGTATATATTATATAAAGACTTACCATCACCAACAATTGTTTTTATCCACCCTTTCCACTACAGTACTCCTGAGAGATCGAGTATGGGGTGCATAATAAATGAACTAAACTATCTCTGTTATACAAGTTCTTTCTGGGGGGAGCCCCGTCGGCTTCCCGGAGCTTTACCGGCTGATATGCTAATGTCAGACTTTGGCATCAGTCATGTGTATGGAGTTCTAGGGCCTACCGGGGACCACGGCCAGAACCTGGCCCCCTCAGAGGGGCATGGGGAGCAATGGCCTATAGAAACCCACGTGTGGTTGGAAGCATTCTGTCTGCCATCGACCGGGTCAAGCATCCAGAAAGGTAAGCATTCCAAAACAAACCCCTATTCTGGTGAAAATTGCTACCTAAAGCCGAACTAGTGGATAGAACTCACCAGAAAACAAGGAAACTAGTATGACGTTATACGTCACCACGCCGCTGTCTGCGCAGCTCCCCCCTCCCTGGGAGGGGGAAGGGGGAGCCCCAGACCTCCCACGCCGGCTAACCACCCATCAGTTCTTCGGCTGATGCTATAGGCAACGGTTATGTGCTCCGGCTCCAGTGGTTGTTTCAGCACTGTACCTAGAGTGTGGTGTCTGTTTTCTAGGTGGTGCGTGAGCCGGGAGTGATTCTCCAGTACTCGGGCTGCATGCGCCTAGGGTTCCCTTCCCTAGGTGCCCTGTAAGTACTGCCCTTGGGGCTTGGGGCCACCTTCCACAAGTTCCTTGGGTCCTGCCCCTGCTTGGCCATTTACTGCTTGGTTTTCGGCCGCTCTTTGTGTGCTCGGGTGTTCTGTCTCCCTTGTTCGCCTTAGAGTAAGGGGCAGTTTTTGCACTGGTGGGGCGCAGGGAACTGTGCAGCTTGTCTTTACCAATTATAGCGGCCGGCTCTGTTCCGCTTGGGTACGCTGTCCTCTTGCGGGGTTTTCTTTTTCTTTTTGTTTATCTACCTGGTGGGGAGGTCTGCCTTCATTCTTGCCCCTTGTGTCCCTTGTGTTCTGAGTATTTTCTGTCCCTGCCTGATTGTCCACCCCTGGTTGTTATCCTGGGGTTTTTGTGCTTCTGCTCTTTCTTCCTGCCTCCTCTGCAGCAGGGGTGTTCTGCGTGTGTTCTTAGGCGTTTGTCAGCCTGTGTCCTGTGATGTGCTTCTTTGTCTCGGTCTATTGCAGTTGTTCGTACCCCTTGGTTCGGGTACTGTTCTGGCGGCGACCCTTCCGCCTTCTTTGGTTTCCTAGCTTGCCCTGCCGGTTGTTTTTTTTTGGGGTCTTGTGATGTCTCGCGTCGGACCCGTCGTTTCTGACCTCCTGGTGGGCTTGCATGCTTTGGGGAGTTTTTCTGTTCGGCAGACGTTCCATCTCCTTGTGCCGCCTGGGTTTCGGTGGTCGTGCCCGAGATCTTCCCACGGCTCCGCCTTTTCCTGGGCTCGGAGGGGCCTTGTCGGGGCAGCTTATGTTCTGCCTCACGGTCTCGCCTCCGGTTGGTGGTCGGGTGGCTTCGTGGTTGGTGTCCCACCTGCGTGCTTTTCTTGGCGGTCCTTCCTTTTCCTGTCCCTTCTTAGGTGGTTACTCTTGTTAGCTTGGTTTTCTTTGTGGGGGTTGGGGGCCGTCGTCTTGCCACATACTGTTGCCTCTTTTCGTGCGGCGCGGCCGGAGCCGCTTCAGCTTGCTTTCAGTCTTGGTGTTGCTTCTGCACCGTTAGTCAGCTGTCTTGTGTGTCGTTTCACCTCCGGCCTGTTCGTGCGCCGCTTGCACCATCCTGGTCTCTGGTCAGCGTGCTCTGTCTTCTCCTCGGTTGGTAGTGCCCCTTCGGTTCCGGTGTGTTTTTTCGTCGGCTCTTTCCTTTTGGCCTTTGCCTCTGGGGGTCGAGTCGCTGAGTTTTCTTGCTCCTTCGGTTTTAGCGTTTTGGTTGTTCGGTGGCAGCAGTCTCCATCTTTTCTGGCGCGGGGTGGGGCTGCTGCGTTCTGGAGGGGTCCAGGGTTTGTTCGTGCTTCGTTGATCGGGCCGGGGGTGTGTCGTTTTTTGTGTTCAGTGGCGGCCCTCCGCTGTTGTTTGCGTGCCACGGCGTTTGGGTCCGGAGCGCGTTTTGCGTTGATCCGGTTCTGTTCTTCCTGGTTCGTGGGTGATAGTGTCATGGGTGGTCAGCCGTGTTCTTGCGGCTAAGCTGCCTGTGTTCTTCCCTCATGCCTGTGGCGTTCGTGGCTTCGCTGCTCTCGCTGCCGTCTGGGCGACGTGGCCTTGCGGTCTTTTGGGCATGGATTTTTGGTGTTCGTGCAGGGGCCTTGCTGCTTGTTGTTCTCGTGTTGTTCCCGGGACTTTTCGGGGCTGTGGCGCCTTGGGTTGGCGTTTGCTGCCAGTTGTCTCGCCTCCTTGGGGGGTGAGTGATGTCCGCCTCCCGGTTCTGTCCCTTTGACCTTCCTCTGTGGGTAGTTAGCTCCGGGGAGCCGACGGGGCTCCCCCCAGAAAACCAGCGTTGAATGTAATGAAACGCCATTTTCTGGGTGAGACCCGGAGGCTCCCCGGCAACCCTCCCTCCCTCCGGTCGGCGGTTTTTCGTGTGGTTTGACATCCAGCCTCAGAACTGATGGGTGGATAGCCGGCGTGGGAGGTCTGGGGCTCCCCCTTCCCCCTCCCGGGGAGGGGGAGCTGCAGACAGCGGCGCGGTGACGTATGACGTCATACTAGTTTCCTTGTTTTCTGTTGAAGAGTTCTATCCACTAGTTCGGCTTTAAGTAGCAATTTTCACCAGAATAGGGGTTTGTTTTGGAATGCTTACCTTTCTGGATGCTTGACCCGGTTGATGGCAGACATAGAATGCTTCCAACCACACGGGGGTTTCTATAGGCCATTCCTCCCCCTTGCCTCTCTGAGGGGGCCAGATTCTGGCCGTGGTCCCCGGTAGGCCCTAGAACTCCATACACATGACTGATGCCAAAGTCTGACATTAGCATATCAGCCGGTAAAGCTCCGGGGAGCCTCCGGGTCTCACCCAGAAAATGGCGTTTCATTACATTCAACGCTGGTTCTTTACTAAAAAGCTTAAAACAAAGTGTAAAGGATATTGGCATAAATGTCAACAAAACTCCAGGATTTATCATGTATATTTTTTAATACAGTAATGCATACGTTATCATTACTCTGTCACATTCCCAGAGCGGAGAAGACGCCCACTCCACGACTCTCAAACTATTCCTGTCAGGTTCCTGTACCACCACACTCCAGCAGTCATCCACCACTACACAGGACCAGGTGTACAGTGCTCCTTGTGTACCACCACACTCCAGCAGTCATCCACCACTACACAGGACCAGGTGTACAGTGCTCCTTGTGTACCACCACACTCCAGCAGTCATCCACCACTACACAGGACCAGGTGTAGTGCTCCTCGTGTACCACCACACTCCAGCAGTCATCTACCACTACACAGGACCTGGTGTACCACCACACTCCAGCAGTCATCTACCACTACACAGGACCTGGTGTACCACCACACTCCAGCAGTCATCCACCACTACACAGGACCAGGTGTAGTGCTCCTCGTGTACCACCACACTCCAGCAGTCATCCACCACTACACAGGACCAGGTGTACCACCACACTCCAGCAGTCATCCACCACTACACAGGACCAGGTGTACCACCACACTCCAGCAGTCATCCACCACTACACAGGACCTGGTGTACCACCACACTCCAGCAGTCATCCACCACTACACAGGACCAGGTGTAGTGCTCCTCGTGTACCACCACACTCCAGCACTCATCCACCACTACACAGGACCTGGTGTACAGTGCTCCTTGTGTACCACCACACTCCAGCTGTCATCTACCACTACACAGGATCAGGTGTACAGTGCTCTTCGTGTACCACCACACTCCAGCAGTCATCCACCACTACACAGGACCAGGTGTAGTGCTCCTCGTGTACCACCACACTCCAGCAGTCATCCACCACTACACAGGACCTGGTGTACCACCACACTCCAGCAGTCATCCACCACTACACAGGACCTGGTGTACCACCACACTCCAGCAGTCATCCACCACTACACAGGACCAGGTGAACAGTGCTCCTTGTGTACCACCACACTCCAGCAGTCATCCACCACTACACAGGACCTGGTGTACCACCACACTCCAGCAGTCATCCACCACTACACAGGACCTGGTGTACCACCACACTCCAGCAGTCATCCACCACTACACAGGACCTGGTGTACCACCACACTCCAGCAGTCATCCACCACTACACAGGACCTGGTGTACCACCACACTCCAGCAGTCATCCACCACTACACAGGACCTGATGTACAGTGCTCCTTGTGTACCACCACACTCCAGCAGTCATCCACCACTACACAGGACCTGGTGTACCACCACACCCCAGCAGTCATCCACCACTACACAGGACCTGATGTACAGTGCTCCTTGTGTACCACCACACTCCAGCAGTCATCCACCACAACACAGGACCTGGTGTACCACCACACTCCAGTAGTCATCCACCACTACACAGGACCTGGTGTACCACCACACTCCAGCAGTCATCCACCACTACACAGGACCTGGTGTACCACCACACTCCAGCAGTCATCCACCACTACACAGGACCTGGTGTACCACCACACTCCAGCAGTCATCCACCACTACACAGGACCTGGTGTACCACCACACTCCAGCAGTCATCCACCACTACACAGGACCAGGTGTACCACCACACTCCAGCAGTCATCCACCACTACACAGGACCTGGTGTACAGTGCTCCTTGTGTACCACCACACTCCAGCAGTCATCCACCACTACACAGGACCTGGTGTACCACCACACTCCAGCAGTCATCCACCACTACACAGGACCTGGTGTACAGT